GAAATTATTTCTGATTTGATTTTTTCCAGATCCCCTTTTGTTGCCAGTTCAGTGGGTCCAGGTGGTTGAGTATCAGAGTGTTCCATCTCGTTTCCCTTTGGGGTTGCTGTAGGTGGTCTGGAAGTCTCGTTTTGAGATTTATTTCCTTTTTTTCTCATTTCAACTGGGGGGGGGCGGGGGGTGCTGTTGGTGATGGCACGGATCACCTTCTCTGAGCTGGGAGAGGTGGGCCAGGGGCTGGGAGCCACAGTAGGGATGGTGGCCCAAAAGCCCCTTCCTCTGGGCCGGGAGCGGTGGGACGTTTGGTGGCCCAAAAGCCCTTTCCTCTGGGTTGGGAGTAGCAGTGGGATGGACAGCAGCCCAAAAGCCCTTTCCTCTGGGCTGGAAGTGGCGGGAGGGATGGTGCCTGGGCAGCCCCTTCCTCTGGACCAGGTGCAGTGGGATGGCAGCTCAGAAGCCCCTACTTCTGGGCAGGAATTCTTTAAATGCTGAGAACTTGATTAGCTCCAGTACAGCGGTCTGGTGGTCTGGTGTCCTCTGCGTCTTTGTAGTATGGAACCAGGTGGCTGTACAGAGAAGAGGCCAAAGGAGCTCTTTCTGTTGGTCACTATCTTGTTTTTCTTTTCCAGTCATTTTTGTTGTTTACCAATTGACCTTGCTTGCTCTTTTCATTTCATCTGGGCTTCTGGCCACACAGACTTTAGTCATTTAATGACCAAGTTCTTGTCCTGTGAGTAGCTCATTATATAAATTCGTCACTAAATGAGGAATTATATAGAGTATGTATGTTCCAATATTCAGAACAGAAAAATAGTCAAAGGAAATTCAAACTTGGCTTTGCTTTTATTCCCATAACACTTACATACAGTACTGTAAATGTATAACAGCGCATAAAACTATAGTAGTATACTGGACAGTACAATCAGCAAAAATTACAGTGCTTTATAAAAGGTGTACTGTACAAAATAAAGACATTGAGGCTCCCCCAACAAGATATACAGAACTTTACAAAAACAAAAGCAGTGGGTTGAAAATGTAAACTGTGTCTCATTCATAAGTCGGAACAGTCAGTAAACAGGTAGCTTGTTAAATGAGCTATATATATATATATATATATATATATGACATTTTCAAATTATTTAGAGGGAAATGATTTATTTTTCTTAAGAACTCACACTCTCCAGTAGCTTTTAAAATACAACACAGCACCAACCAACAAATAATTGCATTAGCTGACTTCAGGCAATAATGACCATACACATATCAGAAAAAGCAGGAGAACAAATTAATCAGAAAACTCAGGCTATCTCATGAGACAGCAATCATATTGAAAGTGCTCATCAAAAATCATGACTGCAAAGTAGATGCAATCCAATCCTATATTTCCTTACATGCTCTCTCCTGACATCTTAGCAGTTTCCATGAGTTCTTCAAGGTTATAGTGATCACTCAGTTGGTATTGCTAGAAGCTATAGTTTAAAATGCAATTTTGGCTCATTAATAAAAGAACTTCTCCAGGTCATTTCAAGGAACCAATGCAACTAAAATATTACTGTGAAGATATCACAGAACCATGAACCTGCTTAACTCTGTAAAACTCATTGGAAATGGCAAATATCCTTGACAGTGAAACTGGTGTTAATGGAACCACTGCTCTGTCCACTACAATAAACACTTGGAGGATAGAAAGACATATAATGTAAGTAGTAAAGGACCTTACTAGCCAGTGGTATAAGACAAAAATTAAAATCATCATAGAGGCAAGAATAGCAGTGGTAGTTAATTCTTCAATTGTTTCTTGTGGTTCAGAAGTGTTTATACAGTCTTTGAGAAATTGTGTTTAGCTCAGTGGCACCATGCCTGCCTTGCAAGCACAAGATCCTGAGTTTGATCCCTGATACCAAAAAAAAAAAAAAGAAATTATGTGCTCCCATATGATATGAGACATTTCTACATATCAAAAATTTTCAACGTTAACATCACTTCTAAAGAGTTTGTTTATATCTGAGAATTTATTTAACTCCAAATGACTCAGGTTTATTATACCTTAAGGAACTGCTGGAAGCAGATAGTCCTTAGATGTGAGCCCAATAGCAAGAGTGCAGATAAATTTTTCTGGCTCTTTGTTACAACTGTTTGGTCTGTGATCAAGGGGTCTCATAAAACCATAGTCCAAATCACCGCCTTCTTCATCAAAATAAGGAAACTATATATTTTTTGAGGTTGCTTTTTATGTCTCAATATCTAAAATATATGATAGCTTATGTGTCCCTAATATTAGGCATTATAGATAATACATATTTTGAAGACATTTGTTTTTTCATGAATTCTGTGCTCATTTGCCCAGTATGCTTAGTAAATGTGCCTTAAATACAATAGGCTATATGCATTTTTCATTTCATGACTGAGTCCTGTTCCTGTGATTAGGTTGCTAATGAATGAGGTGCTAATTGAGGAATTGTATGCAGTATGTACTTAACAATATCCAGGACCATGAACCATGAGACATGCTTTACAGAGAATATAGAAATAAAACTGCATTAACTAGCAGGAGAACCAGTATTCCATTCTACTCTTTTGGGGGTTTTTTTGGTACTGGGGATCGAACTTGGGTCCTTGTGCTTGCAAGGCAGGCGGCAGAACCACTGAGCTAAATCCCCAGCCCTCTGCTGTTTCTTTAGAAGTGAATTCCCACCTAGCATAAAAAATCCTGTCCGACAAGCACACGTGGATATAAATAGGTCGATGACCAAAGCATGAAGTAACCATTTGTGGGACTCAGCCTCATTTCAGCTTTTTATGAGTAGATTTAAAATAATAATATTGTTTTGTGAGTCTTACTCTTCTTCCTGGAAATATATTTCTGATGATTTAGAAGGCACTGACCTTTGAGGATGTGGCTGTGGACTTCACCATGGAGGAGTGGGCTTTGCTGGATCCATCCCAGAAGAAGCTCCACAGAGATGTGATGTGGGAAAACTTTAGGAATGTGGCTTCTATAGGTAAGAAAGACATCAGTTCTTATTTATACAGAGAGCATTGATTATTGCTCATCAGTGCAGTTTATTATAATATGGAAATATTTTTGATAAATTTTCCAGGCATGATCATATTATACCAAGAATTTAACTGGAAGCTAATTATTTTTATGTCATAGAGTAACTGATCATTACATTTCTTTTTCTACACTTTAGGAAGAAAGTGGGATGACCAGCAAATTGAAGATGAGTACAAAACTTACAGGAATAATCTAAGGTAATTTGTACTCACAACAAACCAAGAAAACTACATGAACAAGGCCATGTTTAAGAAAAAAAGAAAAGGAAGCCTGACGTGGTGGCATTGCTTATAATCCCAACCCCTTGGCAGTTGAGGCAGGAGGATTGCCAGGAGTTCCAGGCCAGCTTGTGTTTGAGCCCAGCCTGAACTGCATAGAGAGAACTTGTCTCCAGAATCAAACAAACAAACAAAATGAAGCCATGTTCAAATTTCTTTTATCACACAAAATTTCTCCAAAGATGCATACATGTTTAGTATCTAGAATCTGACAGTTGAATATTTGAAATATACATATAGATATATTTTCAAGACTACTTATCAAACAAGTTATGTAAGCAATGCTATATATATTTAAATGTGGTATGCATATTCAGTATTTGGAACACTGGTAACCTTGAGGAACTATTGAAAATCCAAATGAATACTCTTGTTTTCATAATAGCTGTTTTCAAGCAATCCTCAAAAGTCTTTAGTCTGTTTATGTTCCAAAATACAGTATTACCAGGCATCTTCCTATAATGTTGGTGGGAAGGTCATTGTAGCCTAACATCTATGGAAATATGTATAGAAGTTCCTCAAAAAAGTAAATATAGAGGGCCGGGGATTTAGCTCAGTGGTTTCGGCTGCCTGCTGCGCAAGTGCAAGGACCCGAGTTCGATCTCCGGTACCAAAAAAAACACACACACAAAAAAGTAGATATAGAAATTCCATTTTGTCCAGCTATACTTCTATGGGGTGTATTCCCCTAAAGTTGATCATATTACACTGATATATACATATCCATATTTGCAGCAGTAAAACTTAGAAAAGTGAAGTTCTGGAAACAGCCTAGATGCACATTCCAAGATGAGTAGAAATGAAAAATTAGATAGCTTGGGCAGGATGGAGCATGCTGGGAAACACATTCATGCTTAGTCTGGGCAACTTAATAATTGATAAGACTCAGTCTCATAAAAAAAGATAAATAGCCCTTGAGAATGTAGCTAGCTCAGTGCTAAAACCCTAGGTTCACTGTTCAGCACTGAAAAGAATGTGTTGTCTATCTATAATGGCATGGTAATCAGCCATAACGGACAATGAAATTATCTCATTTGCTAACAAGTGCATGGATCTGGAATCCATATTATTATAAATAAGAGAAACACTGAACATTCAATATCATATTTATTTTGTATGAGAAATGCAAAATTTGATTTAAGAAAAAGAAAGGGGATGGTAGAAAAGAGAGTCAGACATATAGGGGAAGGTGAAGAGGCTCAGTGGAAGGGAAAGAGGTAGAGTTGTGGAGGAGAAGAATATGAAAAATAATTAACATATGGTATACATATGTACCAATTGCTTAAAATGAAAGCAACCAGTATGTATTGCAGACATATCACTTCCAAACTCCCAAATGAATACTGCTTTGGTAAACACTATTTCCAACCCATCATCCAGAGTATACAGTAAATTCATGTTTGAATATGCTTAGGGGATATCAAATCAGAACTGCTCCAGGTAAACCATTAATTTAAAGACATTTTTTAATGTGACTTTTTTTCTTTGACAGAAGTTCAGAGATAGATAAATGCTGTAAATACAACACTGATCTCAAATCATGTGAGCTTCATGAGTTTGAACAGAACCTCTCTAATTGTAACAGACATGGAGAAACCTCCACTCCTTTTCAGTCCGTGCAGAAACATGCAAAGACAAATCCTAAGGAAAAACCCTATGGATATAAGCAATGTGGAAAATCCTACTCTGATTGCACTAAAGGAAGTAACACTGAAGAGGAATCCTCTGTATATAAGCAAGATGTGAGAAACTTCAGTACATCCAACTATGTTCAAATCCAAGAAAGAAATCACAGTAGGGTGAATACCTATGTATGTATACAATGTGGAAAAAATTTGAATTCTCTCCATGATATTCAGAAACATGAAAGAACTCACACTGGGACAAAATCTTACATATATAAACACTGTTCAAAATCCTTAAATAATAACACTTCATTTGGTAATCCAAAAAGAACTTTCATTGGAGGAAAATCCTACCTATGTAAGCATTGTGGGACAGCTTTCAGCACACAGAGTTGTTGTAAAAAACATGAACAAACTCACAGTGCAGGTAAATCCTATGTATGCAGTCAGTGTGGGAAAGCTTTCAGCAAACGGAGTCATTATCAGAGACATGAACGAACTCACACTGGGGAGAAACCCTATGTATGTAAGCAGTGTGGGAAAGCTTTCAGCACACAGAGTTACTGTCAAATGCATGAAAGGACCCACACTGGAGAGAACCCCTATGTATGTAAGCAATGTGGGAAAGCTTTCACAACACACAGTTATTGTCAAATACATGAAAGGATCCACACTGGGGAGAAACCTTATGTGTGTAAGCAATGTGGGAAAGCTTTCAGGAGACAGAGTTACTGTAAGAGACATGAAAGGACCCACACTGGGGAGAAACCCTATATATGTAAGCATTGTGGCAAAGCTTTCAGTAGGCATAGCCAATGTAAGATACATGAAAGAATTCACACAGGGGAAAAACCCTATGTATGTAACCAATGTGGGAAAGCTTTCAGCCACCACACTACATTTAAGATACATGAAAGGAACCACACGGGGGAGAGACCCTATGTATGTAAGCAATGTGGGAAAGCTTTCACCACACACAGTTCTTGTCAAATACATGAAAGGAACCACACAGGGGAGAAACCTTATGTATGTAAGCAATGTGGAAAAGCTTTCAGCACACACAGTGAATGTAAAAAACATGAAAGGACACACACTGGGGAAAAACCGTATGTATGCAAACAGTGTGGGAAAGCTTTCCGTACAAACAGTTATTGTCAAAGCCATGAGCGAACTCACACTGGGGAGACACCCTATGTATGTAAGCACTGTGGGAAAGCTTTTATCGGGCAGAGTCAATGTAAAATACATGAAAGGACTCACACTGGGGAAAAGCCCTATATATGTAAGCAGTGTGGGAAAGCTTTCAGCACACAGAGTTATTGTCAAATTCATGAACAAACTCACAGTGGGGAGACACCCCATGTGTGTAAGCAATGTGGGAAAGCTTTTGTCTCATACAGGAATTGTCAGATACATGAAAGGATTCACACTGAGGGAAAACCCTTTGTATGTAAACAATGTGGGAAAACTTTCACCAAACACAGTTCTTGTCTAATACATGAAAAGAACCATGCTGGGGAGAAACCCTATGTATGTAACCAATGTGGGAAAGCTTTCAGCACACACATTTATCTTAAAAAACATGAAAGAAACCACACTAGGGAGAAACTTTTTATATGTAAGTATTGTGGGAAAGCTTTCAGGACACACAGTAACTGTCAAATACATGAAAGGACCCACACTGGAGAAAAACCCTATGTGTGTAAGCAATGTGGGAAAGCATTCAGCACACACAGTTACTGTCTAATACATGAACAAACTCACACTACAGAGAAACCCTATATATGTAAGCAATGTGGGAAAGCTTTCAAGACACAGGGTTATTGTAAAATGCATGAAAAGACTCACACTGGGGAGAAACCCTATGTATGTAAACAATGTGGGAAAGCTTTTACCACAAACAGTAACTGTCAAATACATGAAAGAACCCATACTGGGGAGAAACCCTATGCATGTAAACAGTGTGGGAAAGCTTTTACCACACATGGTTCTTGTCAAATACATGAAAGGACCCATACTGGGGAGAAACCCTATGCATGTAAACAGTGTGGGAAAGCTTTCACCACACATGGTTCTTGTCAAATACATGAAAGGACCCACACTGGGGAGAAACCCTATGTGTGTAAGCAGTGTGGGAAAGCTTTCAGCAGACAAAGTTCATGTGTAATGCATGAAAAGACCCACACTGGGGAGAAACCCTTTGCATGTAACCAATGTGGGAAAGCTTTTGGCACACATAGTGAATGTAAAAAACATGAAAGGATTCACACTGGGGAAAAACCATATGTGTGTAAGCAATGTGGGAAAGGTTTCACCACACACAGGTATTGTCAAAGTCATGAACAAGGTCACACAGGGGAGAAACCCTTTGAATGTAAGCAGTGTGGGAAAGCTTTCAGCACATACAAGAGTTGTCAAAGGCATGAAAGTAATCACACAGTATAGGAACCCTATATATGTAAGCAATGTGGAAAAGCATTTCAGTTACTCTACTAATCATAGACTTTGAGTATATAATGTGGCTTGCACTGACATAACAGGGCAGTGCAGAGAAGCCCTTTCTTTGTATGCAATATAAGAAAAATTTTCAATACACATGTATTATTACATACCTAAAAGAATTCATAGAACAGAGAATCTGAACATATATGAACAGTGTAAAAAATTTTATTTTCCTCAGTGCATTCAAGTTAATTAAAAATTCAACAAGAGGGAAGCCATATCTATGCAATAAATCTGGGAAACCTTTTTAATTTTCCACTTACATTAAAAATCATGAAAGAACTGCCACTGAATAGAAAGCCTGTGTAAATGAATGAAAGCTCTTTATGAGTCTCACAACAGAAAACATGCACAGACTCAATGAGATTTAGTGTAAATACCAAATGTGAGATGTGAGAAAGCTAAGTATCAGAATGACAGAGACAGGTGTGTTAGGGATGAGATAAACTTTCAAAGCACACATGCAAAGACATCTTCCTCCAATACATCTATAGATTAATGAACTGATAAGGCTGAAAAGTGCATTATAATGTTAAATTCAGAATAACAAAGTAGCTTGCATCCAAGTCTTCAGTACATGGCCTTTAAGGATATCCATGCAAAGCATCACCTTAGTTGTATGGGTGAAGTTTATTCATACAGTGAAATTTTATTGAGTCTTGAAAAAAATCCCCCATTTGTGACAGATTAAACAAGTCATTATGTGAAATATGTCATGGATAGACAAAGCTTGATCATCTTTGCTGTTAGCATCTAAAATTGACAACTTTAAAGAAGCAGAGAGTTTAGTGATGGTTGCCACATGTGCGGGTGGTGAAGCAGAGAGATTTTAATGAAAAAAATAGTATTTTTCTTTAAAGTACACGATGTCATCGATCCCATAATGACTACAGTACAGGGTTTGATGCAGTGCCACTTAGCTAAAATTTTAGCTAATTTGCTAAAAGTTGTTTTTAGTGCTTTCTCCATGTACCCAAAATGTAATTGTGTTAGGTGATGCAAATGCTGCCAAGGAAGAATGTAATTTTACAATGTAAACCAGATCAAATATATGATTTTGTTATTTTTCCTTTTTAATGAAATGAATACAATTAAATATAGCAAAAATAACTGGACTATGGTTTCATGGTGTGTATGCAGAAGCTTTAATTTTTCCAAATGTAATTTAGTTTGTACTGTATTTATTTCTGAAAGTATTCAGTATTAGTTGGCCCAAAGGTTGTGGGATATTGTTAAAGTGAAAGTTTTCAGTACTGTAGTGAACTTTATACTTGGTTCACTGGAAATGTAAACCAGTTTTTGAGGATATAATTTGGAAACAATTGACATCACAAGTTTATTTTATCCCATTTTGACAGAAAGTTGTTATATATGTGTTCAGAAAACTTTCTACATTTTAAAACGACTTAAGCTTGTTTGATTTAATTCACATTTTCAAGTTATATCAATTTTCTTTCTAATGTCTTGAATTTATCCTTTATAGTCTAGTATACCATTATGTGTAGATACTGTATTTTCTTCATCTGTTAATGGACATATATGAGGAAACATAACTCATTGGCAAATGGGAGGGGATCAGGAGAACAAGGATAGGAGAAAGGGGACATAAAAAGATTTAATGTCATCTACTAACTACCCACAATGAATGCAATCTATATATCACAATCATGAACTAAATAATAATAATAATTACGATGATGAAATGGGGAAAGGGGATCTGCAACTGCAAGGAGGTTGGTGGGTGAAGAGGGAAAGTTAAATCATAAGAATCAAAATGTTAAACACGTGTGCCTACTCTGTAAGGTGAATGTGGACATATAATACAAACAGGTATTAAGTAAAAAGCTTAATACTTAACTATTCAGAGATATTTCATACTTTTTCTGCTTCCTAATAATTTATCAGCAGATGCTTTGAAAATATTATATAAAGATGCCTTTAGGTCTCTGGGAACCAACCTTCATGTTGCAGGTTTCTTTAGTTTTGAATTCCACATGAACATTTATCTTTGTCATAGGCACCAAATGTATTGACTCAGACTAAGCAATCCTTTGCATGCACTTCCATTGGTTACACATGGCAGTGATTATGTGATTTTGTGATGTAGGGGAAGTAGGTATACACATGCACCAGGACATGTGCATCTATTATGTTGCATTAGCAAATGGAAACATGTATTTTATTTTTTTTGCTTTTTGCATCCTAACATGGCTGTAGGTATACCATACCATTCACCAAAATACATTTATTGACCCTGGCTTAGTGAATTGTATCAAAGCTAACCAAAACACCATAAGGTTGTTCACTTTATGAAATAATTTTCACAGTTGTGTACCCTAGGAAATTGACATCAAAGCACTGGCAACTTCAATATTTAATGGTATACCATTTACATATAGTGACTTCTAGCTAAGTTCTTCCAAGTCAGAGAGGTTCGAGGTGTCTTTCACCTCTCTTTTACGTGTATATGTGTCATTATTGAGGGTTGTTAATTCATGAGACAAATTCCAGAGACCCCACCGCCTCATACTATCACCTTGGGAATTAAGTTCTAAAACATGTATTTTGGGATAACTACACATTCAGAACACAGAACCCATTATATGAGGTTAAATTATGTGTTGAGCAGTGTAGCAGATTTCGTGAAGCTTCTTGTGTCCTACAGCAGTTTTTATGCTGATATTCAATACACACTTAGAAGTGTTTTGAAGACAGAAATTTAAGCAATCTTTTCCAATTAGAGTTTAGAAGAAATAATGCAGTTGTATATGTCATGAACTGAATTAGGCACAAAGTATTCCTGAAGGAAAGACAAGTTTGACTACCATTTATTTTGAGATCTTCAAAGTAAATAGTAAAAGTAAATGACAGGGATTTCTGCCAGGCTTATAAAATAATGTCCCATGTTAGTGCCGCCTACTTCCCGAGAAGGAACAGGGCAATTGATGTATATCCCTTCTTCACTGCTACAATCTGGATTTAATTTACATGGTGGTAAAACCTTTTATGTGGGCCTTTACAGGCACCAAAATGGTACTTCTCTCAGACCCTTCATGGTCTACAGGCAGACACATTTTAAGGATGCCATCTCTCCATGCTCAGCATGTCCATGTGTCTTTGCTTCAAAATAGTCTGTTGTTATTTCCATTCCATTATTTCCTGCTAAACTATTTCTGTAGTTCAAACAATTGCAGGTAAAATGTCACTTCTTCCGTGATCCTAGTTAGTTTCACACTCTATTTTCATAGTATCTTGCCCTCATTATTTTCTACTAGAATCATCCCAGCAATTTTTATTCGCATTTATTATGAAAATATTGAAGATGCTGATGATGGGATCATCACAGTGTGGTGATGGTACTTAATTCCCAGTGCTTTGATGACTCTTTGGGTGACTTGGGATGTGAAGAGGAATTCATTATCACTCTGGATAGACCTAGGCAGTCCAAACCTAACAATCACTTCTTTAAGGAGGATTTTTACCACATCCAAGTCCTCTTCTGTTGGGCAAGGCTTCTGTCTTCCCCCCAGGAAAAGTGTCAGTGCATGCCAGCAGGTGGGCGTACCCCTTACATGTAGGAATATGGGTGAAGTCTGTTTGCCAATCTTCTCCAGGGGAGGACCCATGTCTTTGTACTGGTTCAAGCAATGGGGAAGGATGAGTGGGAATTGCAGAGGGCACAGACAGGAAATGTCTTCATGGCCTGGGTTACAGTGTTATAGAATCCATGCAGTAGAAAGAATATGCGCTATAGAGGGGGTTGATGTAGCACTGTAGGTGGAAGGCAGCATGTAGGAACTTAATGATTTTCCACTGCACTTATCACAAGAACAGTCAGGGTCCCACATACATTACTGGCCCTTTTGGACTACTCCCTCATTATAAATAGTTTGAAGCTCTTCTTTTGTAGAGTATCCTGTCTGTAAACCCAAGACCTGCTATAGGACCGTGGGTAGAGCTGCGGATGGGCCAGAAATATTGTGGAAAGTGGCAATTTAGCAGTGAAATCTGTCTTAGAATTTCTCTGGGAGAAAGTGCCTAGGGAGGCTTAATATCCTTAGCAATGGACAACTACTACCTCATTTGTAATATTTACTGCCTCTATGAGATTGAGGCTCTCTTGTAGATGTGTTTTGGCAGCAAGTGTCTAGTCAAAATTTCTTTTTTCCACATGGCTACATGCACATTATGACCAGAAAGGGGGATTTGGAGACAATGTATATATTGACTGACTTGCTGGGCAAGTTGGAGAGCGGGATTGAGGGCAGTGTGTTCTGCCTTGTAAGTGGAAGTCCCATGGGGAATTCTTGCTTCAATGGCCTTGGTAGGGGTGACCATGGTTTATCCTGCCCTCCTAATGCCATCCTTTATGGAACTGCTGCCACCATGAGTCATGTGCCAGCCATCCCTATCAAACCTTGGTCCCTCAAATTGAGACACCTGGCACAATTTTGGGTGATTTCTTTTGTCAGACTCATGATCTATCTGTTGTTTATTTGGGAGTAAGGTGGCTGGGCATAAAACAGTATAGGACTGAAGAGGGACATCTGGGTTTTCTATGAGACTGGCCTGGTATTTAGTGAGCTTTTCTCCAGTGATCCATAAATGTCTCGAACTCAACAGAGCCTTAACCTTGTGTGGGGTTAGAACTAAGAGCATTTGTCCCTAGGTTATCTTAGAAGTTTCCTTGACTAAAAATGCCAAAGTAGCTATTGCTTACAAACAGTGAGGTCAGCTCCGTGTCACTCCATCTAGTCACTTGAAAAAGTAGGCAACTGGGGGCCGGGGATTTAGCTCAGTGGTTTCACCACCTGCTGCACAAGTGCAAGGACCCAAGTTCGATCCCTGGTACCAAAAAAAAAGTAGGCAACTGGTCACTTCTCCAGGTGTAGATGCTGAGTCCCACTCTCCAAACTACTTCCTATTTCTCATCCATGAGGAGAAAAATAGGCTTAGTTAAGACTTGGACTCCTAATGCCAGCACTTATATCTGTTCCAATTTGAAGGCCTTAAAGACTTCTTGAGTAGCTACTGTTCATAAGGCTTTAGGTTCTGGCCCCTGAGTTGCCTCTTATAGGGGTTTGTCTATTATTCTGAAGTGGAGTATCCATATGTGGCAAAGACTACCACTCCCAAGATAGCTCTCAGCTGCTGTTTAGACACTGACAGCAAATTGCCTCTTTCCTTCTTGGGGACACTTGTCTTTGTCCTGGAGTTAAAATACATCCTAGATATGTCACCTTTTGTTGAGAAATCAGTATCTTATTTTGAGATAAATTGCAACCCCTTTTTGCTAGAAAATTGAGTTTTAATTGTTTTTTATCAACCACCACCTTAGTGGGGCAATAAACGCAGTTATCTATGTCTTATAATAGGCCTCCCTTTTAGAACTTGAAATCTCTCAGGTCTTGAGCTAAAGCCTGTGCTCACAAGTGGGGGTAACTAAACCCTGAGGGAAGACATTCCAAGTGTATTATTGTGAAAAACCTATTTAGGTATATTTCCATTCAAAGGCAAAAAAGTAATTTGGCATTAGAATCCACAGGTATAGAAAAGAAGTCATCTTTGAGATCAAGGACAGGGAACTATTTAGTGTCTCCTGGGATCTATGACAAAAGTGTATATTATCCACTGATGGGGGAATAGGTACAAATGGTCACTGATTCTATTGTTAAAATGAGTGTATTGCACTGGAACTGGCAAGGCACTAGTAACCCTGTAGCCAAAAACATATATAATGAGATTTATCCCTATTTTAGTTTCTTAAGGTAATGCTGTCTTGTGAGGATACAGAGTAGGGTCTTATAGCTGCATTATGACTACTGTGGCATTGACAGCCCTTCCTGGGGTGCCATTGTATCATGCTTGGTGATCAACTCCTGACAAGAGACATTGAGCCCCATGGAGATAGGCTGCCTAAGTCCCTAGTACCTAGGACATGGGTTGCCACAGTGTAAGACCAAGGGCCTTACCAAACACTCTGAGGAGCTGACTATAGTGAAGCACACCCAGGGATCCCAGCGGTGCCTCCAGAATGTAAGACCAAGGCCTTACCAAATGTTCCAAGGAGCTGACTACAGCGAAGACCACCCGGGAAGGAACAC